ACCATTAATTGTGTATAACAAACGTCTTTAGGATTAGTGTGAGCTGACACTCACGGGTGTAGTTCTCGTGGGGTTCGAGTATTGTTGAGGATCAATGGCGTTCGACTAGTATGGAGTTCATTTTTAGAAAAATCAATAAATAAAAATGGACGCGAAAAAAGAATAAACAACAAAGTTCAAGATAAGGCAGTGAGTGAAATGTTAAATTACTTGACGTTTAACTGATACACCGGCGAGCCTGCCGAAGAGGTAAGAAACCTGCCACAAGCTCGGTTCGTTTTCAAACATCACAGATAAATCTCCCAATACTTCGATTAACTTTTGCCTGACGAGAGGATCAGTTTGAGTAGAGATTGCCACAAGCTCTAGCTCATCCAAAAACTTTTTTGATGCAATTTCGGCTGTCGTAGAGGGCAAATGGATCAATATATGACAACAGCTATTTGGTTTTCAAAATAGATAACACTTACCATGAAACTTTGCCCCACAATTATCTGCCATAGCTCTCAATATCTAAGGTGATGAACAGATGGTCGTGAGTATTCTGTTGGAAACAAACATCGAACACAAGAAAGACAATATCGATCGGCTTCGACATACGCTTAGAGCTCTATATTGTACATTGGAAGGTTGCTGTTTGGATAATTTCTTCTTAATGAATTTCACCGCTTCTTTTGCGCCGTTATCCGATGCATTAACTGCATCACAAGCGGAAATTACCAATCCCCAGTCTTCTTCTTCCTTAAGAACGCATTGATCTATCAGTTCGTTAAGATGGGAATAATGAGAATTAATAGTTTTCAGAGTATCATTAGAGTCAGCCTCGTTTCTGTTGTCTTCACGACCTCTTCCCCATTGAAGAGAAGGAATTAACATACCCAAATATTCTGTAATTATCGTTTTGTTGGATTTTTCGAAAAATCCCATTTTACATATATCTTCTCAAGTTCGGTTAATAAGGATTTATGCAGCGAAGCCTGAGTAAAGGGCACCAAAGTATTAGAGAGAAGTTTTGCGTTGTAGGTGTATCACGTTCTTGAAATTTGGATAGATCCTATTTGTAAGGATGGATTTCCGCTTTTATTGATTTTGGGCCAAGACAGTTAATTGGCGTGTATGAAGAAAATTAAGAAATTTGGGTTTTCTTGGTAATTCAACTTAATTTATCTTGGTCACTTTGTCCCAATCGTTAGAGGTAGCCTGCCCAAGCGGATTATTTTGTATCATTGTGTCACCGCATTCCTCTGCAACTTACCATAATAGCGTACAGTACGCACACGTGTTTTTTTTTTCAAGAAATCTAGAAATCTCGGATTTTATTTTTTTTTTCATGTGCGCGATCAGCAGTTCAGCGTTTTTCTTGGATTTTATTTAAATATTAAACTCGTTACTTGGCAAGAGGGATAGGATAGTGGGGATATACGTACGTAAATACATACGTACGCACTCGAATAAATTTATTTACAGCTACATCCTCTATGTAAAATACGTGCATATGTGTGAAAATTGAAGATTGTATGAGAAAGAGAATAGATTATCAAGAAAAATATAAAAAAAAATGTGTTAGATAAGAGAAGAAAGAAAAAAAACAAAAGAAACCTAAACTTTTTGTCAAATATAATTTATTTCGTGATGATGGAAGAAAAAAAAAAAAATTAATTCGTCAAAATACTCTCATAAAGTGAGAAAATTATGCCGGCACCGGAACCGACGTAAATCAAATTTTCAGGGATGAAATCACGAACGTCTTCGACCCAATCAAAATGACCAACGGTGACAAGGAAAATTCCACACTGTGCAACAGAAAACGCTAGGGGACTAAACATGTGACGTTGTTGATCAAGATTGAACATATATGAGAAACCGAGTGGTATGGCAAGTAGATAGATAAGAAATGCTATCAATGGACGCCAAAAGCGATGCCATTCGATGATAATAAAGATATCGGGTCCATGTAGGTCGAAAGAGGACTGATCACTTGTTCCCTTGTTAAAAGATGGAATAGGCACGGTGGCAATCTGTCAAGAGAATTTGTGCGTCAATACCTCAAAACGAATAAGTTTTTTAAGGGTCGAATCGATTCTCCCACCTTTAGATTCCATTCGACTGCACAATATAAAAAAACACTGAGTTCGAAAAACACAATGCACTGAACAAATGTTCGCGTATTGGAATACTCCTATAATAATAATAATTATCATAATTACAATAATGGTAAGTCGGCAAAGTTATAATTGTCATATGATCACACTTGATGGAAATGAATACTCGTACCTTTCTCAACCGAAGAATATAGTTTTGGAGCATATCGAGACTAATGAGATTCTCTCTCTGTAAACCGCGTTGAGTGACTACTTCATCTAGGTTTGATAATGCTCGATGTCGCGCATTGACAACGATTTCCTGTGATAATTTTTTAACAGTCAATTGCTGGTTCAAATAGGAGCGAGAAACTCCATGTGGTTTTGTGGTCACCTGTCTGATCTCGATGTCCGACAACTCCGATTCTTCCTCAGATGCTCTAGAAGGTAATGCAGAAATGAATGAATTTTTGTACCGTGTTTACATTATTCCCTATCATTGACCCACAATACGAACCTTTCTCCACCATTCGGGGATGAAGAAATCGCACTTGGTTTCCTGGATTTCGGCCTATTACTACTGGTGCTAGGCTTGCGACTTGTACGGCGTGTAGGAGTAGAAGTACCGTCACCTATACTTTCTTCCTCTTGTTTGGTTTCTATTAAGTGTGCCCTTGTAAAGCAAATGAGAAAAGTGTTGAAAGTCAACATTAA